ACTTAAATGTTAAACTCTGTTGGTTCAGGAAGGACGCCATGACAGGCTGATGGCTCCCACTGTTTTTGCTGGAAAAGCACTCTTTGTTTAGCTTAAAGCCTTCAAGTTTACATTGGTTACTGTTTTCTTTTAGTTGCTCTACACAAGTATTTGGCTGAACTTTTTCATATTTTTATTGAATGCTAAGCATCAAATGTTTGTTTCAAGAATGATAAGATGCACTTTTTTCAGTAAGCTGTGTTTTCAAGGCTTTAAGGTTTTATGCTACCTCTAAGAATGTCTTATTTTTGAATTTTAAGAGCAAGCAATAAATATTTTTTGTGAAGGAATTCATGTTTTTTTTCATTAAAATATTTAAATCAACATGTATACATCAATATTAGTCAATTAATGGGGAGATAATCGAGAATCGAATCAAATCGAAATCGAATCGAAGCGAAAAAAATAATCGTTAGATTAATCGATGCATCGAAAAAATAATCGCTAGATTAATCATTTAAAAAATAATCGTTTATCCCAGCCCTACTCTCGACCTAAAGGCCGACGTGATGACCCTGGGGAGAAAAGCCGGATTGGGCCACAATTCCACCATGCCGTCCCCCTCTCCAAAGGAAAGGCAAGACGCATGGACAGAGAGCGCACACAAGTCGCCCGCCCTCTTAGCAGACGCCAACGCCAACAAGAGGGCCGTCTTAAAAGCGACACACTCGGGACTCGCCTCCGCCGCCGGTTCAAAAGGCGGGGACCCGACAGCCCCCTAAGGACCACCCTGAGGTCCCAAACCGGGGGCGTTCTCTGGAGCGGGGGGCGTTCTCTGTATCCTGAGCGGGGCCTCCTGCGCCGCCCCCCGCAAAAACGTTTAACCAACGGATGAGAGCGGGCTGTGAGCTCCCCCGAATCCGTCGTGACCCGAAGTAATGGCTGCCGCAAACACCGCCAAGGTGCGACAGCCCTCCCCTTGTCAAAGAGCTCCTGTAGGAATCCCAGGACCCCCTCCATGCGGGCAACGCCTGGGATCCCAGGAACGGGAACCGCACCAGTCGCTGAAGAGCCTCCACCTCGTGGCGTAGGCCCTCACAGTGGACGGCGCCCTCGCCCCCTGAATGGTCTCCACCACCGCAGGGGAAGACCCAGGTCTACGAGGTTCCGCCTCTCAGCCTCCAAACCCAGAGCCTGCGGCCGATTATCGGGCGTGAAAACAGGGCTCCTCGCCCCTGGACTAGAGCCCCCGGCTCGTCCGGGAGGGCCCAGGGCTCCATCACCGCCATGCCCCTCAGGAAGGGGAACCACCGGGCATGCGGACTGTCCGGAGCCACAAGGAACACCGACCTCCTCTCCTGTTCGATCCTCCGCAGCAGGACCGGCAGGAGACGCACTGGTGGGAAAGCGTACAGCAGGCCCCCTGGCCAGGGGTAATGAGCCAGAGCGTCCACGCCTAAGGGCGGCTCGTCCGCGGCCCTTAAGGCGAACCAGGACGGGCACTGTGCGTTTTCTGCACTGGCGAAAAGGTCGACCACTGGACGGCCGAACCTCCGCCAGATCTCCGCAGCTACCCGTGGGGCCAGGCCCCACTCGTCCTGGAGTGGGCCCCCCCTGGACATCCTGTCGGCCCCCACGTTCCGGGGGTCTGGAACGTGGCGCGCCCTGAGAGACAGGAGGTGAAGCGCCGCCCACAGCAGCGTCACCGTCGCCATGCGATGGAGAGCGGGGGACCTGGTGCCCCCCTGCCTGTTCAGATAGGAGACCACTGTGGTGTTGTCTGAGCGCACCATCACGTGTCTCCCCTGCAGCTGAGGAGCAAAGTGCAGCAGTACCCTGTGCACTGCCTCCATCTCCAGCAGGTTGATGTGACGGGCTGAGTCCCGACCAGCAGCCTCCTACAGAGCTCTGGCCGAGGACCCCGCCCCATCCTTCGAGCGACGCGTCCGTGAACACCTCCACGTGAGACACGGCGCAGGCCAGAGTCACTCCGTCCCGCAATAGACCCGGAGTGAGCCAGAACCTGATGTCCGATGCTGCCACTTGGGGAACCCAGATCAGCCTCCCCCCGTCCCGGAGGGGTGAAGCCTGAGGCGTGAGAACCACCTCTGAAAATTCCTCATGTGGAGAAGGCCTAGCCGCACCACAGCATGAGCCGCCGCCATCATTCCCAGCAGGGACCTGAGGCGCCGAGCGGGGACTCTGGGGCCCGCCAGAACCTCCCTGGCCAGACGGGTAATGTTCATCCGTCTGTCCACGGACAATGCAGCACGGAAGGTCACAGAGTCTAACTGCAGACCGAGATAAATCATGCGTTGAGCTGGCTGCAGCTTGCTTTTCTCCCTGTTTACCACAAAGCCCAGACGCTGTATGTGGGACAGGACCCAGTGCGTGTGGCTCACGGCCACTTCCCTGGATGAGGCCAGAATTAACCAGTCGTCTATGTAGGTTAAAATTCTTACCCCTGCGCGTCTGAGCGGCTCCAGTGCTGCCTCCACGCATTCGGAAAAAGTCCGAGGCGCGAGTGCGTAGCCGAAGGGGAGACGGCAGTACTCGTAATTCCTCTCTCCCACTGCGAAGCGCAGAACCTCCTGTGTTCCGGCACTATCGGCACGTGGAAGTACGCATCTGTCAGGTCTATGGAGGACCTCCAATCTCCCTGCCTGACACACTCGAGGAGCTGCTTTGTGGACAGCATCCGAAACTGCCGTTTGGAAATGCACTCGTTCAACACGCGCAGATCCAAAATGGGACGCACCCCGCCTGACTTCTTTGGCACTAAGAAGTAAGGGGAGTGTGGCCAGGGCTGGACTGGGACAAAAAAACGGCCCGGGCATTTTTTCCTTTTTAGCGGCCCAGGCAACTCAAAAGGTTCAAGGAGCCATATTTGACAAAAAAAAAAACAGCGTTGTATAAGGCTTATATGAAGGTAACAGGGTCTGAAGCTGTATTAGCTACATTAGCTACATTAGCTATATTAGCTATATTAGCTATATTAGACTAATATCTAAATGACAAAGTAAAGGCTACAAACACATGAAAACCATTCATGATTATCAAATGTGTATTTTCATTGCAGTGTGTCCTGGAGAGAATGACGCACCACGTGACAACTCTGCTTTAAGTTTAACTTTTTTTGCCTTCATGCAATTGTACAAATACAGTAAATAAATCTGCTTTTTGGCTCAGTTCACCTGCATCACTGTCTGTTCATATCGATCACAGGCTGAAGTTTGCTGGAGCTGAATGTCCTTAATGGCCTTTTCTTTCACCGTCTCTGTGGAGGTTTTTGAAGTCTGAAAATAGGTGCTCTGACTTTATGATGAATGAATCTTTCAGTGAACGGTGTTTAAAGCTTCATTGTTCATTATTGTTTTCATTACATCGCAAACATGAAGCAGTCCTTCCTCATTGACTGAAAGCAAAAGTTCATTCTCATTCTTAGTCCAGTCTTATCGACTCTCTCTCTTTATCTTTGGGATCCATGCGCACACACAGTCTATAATGCACACACGCCGGTTTGTTTACAGCAGCGGCCGCCTGGCACGGGCCGCGTCACAGGATATGACGCACTACGTACAGAAATGCTAAAATTTTATATTACTTATACAAGTTTTTGCAGCATTGAAAAACCTCAAGAATGTTTTTCCTCCTACAGAAACCACATTGAAACTAGAAATAAAATATAGCCCTCACACTCCATTTTCAGACATTTTTTAAAAGGCTCCAGGAGCCACTTTAGGGGCACTAAAGGTTGCCGACCCCTGGTTTATACAGTATGTGGAAGCAAATACTGCAGAGGATCAGGATGTCTGCAGTTTCAACAATAAAATAAAGTACAATAGTCTACATTAAACAGAGTAATAAACATGTCTCAGAGTGAGGCAGGTGACACAGACAATACTATTGTTTGTTACAGGGATGAGAATTGGTCAAAAAAGACTGAAATGCATATTGTCAGTCATTAGCTGGCTCTAAATCTGTTTAATCTGTTCACAACATTTTACTTTTGGGCTCAAACATGAACTTTTAATGCAATGGAAAATTTAGGTACCCGAGCTTCAATTTAGAGGAGAGGGGAGACGCGGACTGTTTTCTGCAGCGGTGTATTTATTGGGTGCACAAATTACGAAAAGACATGCATGGTCCTGTGCGCGTTTATGGTCTTGGGTACATGGTCACGTTGCGGCTACGCGCTCGCCGTGTTGTGTTGTGAGCGGTTCCTGCGTCCAGCTCAGAGCCGCTGGATGCGGGAACATTGCGGTCGCTGAGGTGGTGGAATCCCGTTCGAGTACATACAGCAGGTGCCCCGCGGACACGCGCGCTCCCCTCAAACATTTCTCAACGGATTTACACTTTTCACAAACATGTTTTTTTGTATGAAGCAGACAGACCGGCCCAAATATGGGCATCGGCCCTTCGGGCATTGCCCGGTACGCCCGATGGCCAGTCCAGCCCTGCAAACACTTATAACCAAGGACCACAGCATATATCAATACATGTTTAATAATGTGGTAAACCTTTTATACCATTGTATTTTCAATGGAAAACGGACCCGACACGCGTCGACGGACGTAAAAAATTGGTTTGTTACATGCGATACATGTGTGTTACATGTGTTACTGTCTGCTTGGACCTGGTGTAGAGACAGTCCTTAACACAGATCAGCAATGACAGACTGTTTGGATACAGAGAGAGACTATAGAGACCTGGGACCAGAGCGAGACTATAGAGAGACCTGGGACCAGAATACTTCTCTGTGATCTCTTCCTGGATCAGAAACCAAAACATTTGTGTGAGATTCATTTGCATAAACATGACGTCCGTTTTCCCGGGGGGCAGGGCCTCGTGACTGCACCTGTATCTGTCACGTGACCGCGCGGCAGGTGCGATACAAAAGCACAAACCAGGAAGTGAGTCGCCAGTCAGGATCAGAGCCACAGAGACTAAACACAGACTAGAAACCAAACCACTGCGTCTACAGAGAAAGAGGGACCAGGACCTCCGTGTTCCTCGCACCGATGAAGTTAGCGCTTGTGCTTGTGGTGCTGTGCGCGCTGAACGCGTGCACGCAGCAGTGCGAGTTCGCGGAGCCTCGTGAACGAGCACCTGACCCGATGCTCTTGGCCTCGGCCACGCGCCTCGGAGACTCGGACCCGGAGTCGTGTCGCGCGCAGTGTTGTGCACGCGCGAACTGTGACGCCGCTTTGCTCGAGCTCTCAGTTAACGGGAGCGCGCAGTGCTTCCTGCTGGACTGTGATGGCGCGTGCACGCTGCGCGAGGACAGTCAATATCGCGTGTACGAGAGGACCGACGTGCACACGCGTGAGAACAAGACTCACATCGTACCGCTGATGCTGGCCACGAGCACGCGCACAGAAGACAACAATGAGACACAAGGTAAGACCAGAGCCCAGAGAGACCAGAGCCCAGAGAGACCAGAGCCCAGAGAGACCAGAGCCCAGAGAGACCAGAGCCCAGAGAGACCAGAGCCCAGAGAGACCAGAGCCCAGAGAGACCAGAGCCCAGAGAGACCAGAGCCCAGAGAGACCAGAGCCCAGAGAGACCAGAGCCCAGAGAGACCAGAGCCCAGAGAGACCAGAGCCCAGAGAGACCAGAGCCCAGAGAGACCAGAGCCCAGAGAGACCAGAGCCCAGAGAGACCAGAGCCCAGAGAGACTGGATAAAGTTTAACTCGGTGGAATGTTTTGGTGTCTGATGATTGACAGCTAAATGGACCAATGACGTCAATCGGTCACAAAACATAAGTTCTTCTCATGAAATTAATCAGATTCACGTGAACAGTGCTCTCCTCCTCCTCAGCTCCTGGTGTTAGAGCAAGTGTGGAGGAGGAGATGGTGGAAGAGGAGGTGCTGCTGGGGAATGTGAAATAATACGTTTAGAACACCGAAACAACACATTTCGCAGAAAGAGCCTCTTCCTCTACAGCAGAGGGTCAAACCAGACTGTTACAGGGGGACAATGCCTTTAGCTCAATGACATCCAATAGGGAAGTGCTCATGGTGAAGTTTAGCTCCTCTCTCTGGCTCCCATTGACTTCTATGTAAAAGTAAACTCCTGGGTTGGAGACAGGGTCTCTATCAGAAACTGTTGTAGTACAAACCCTATGCACACAAACACTGCAGCCTCTGAGTGAAACCAGTCCAACCTGTTAGACCCGTTAGTCTGAGCCGAGACCTGGACTGGTCCTGGAATCTGCGCTGAGTCACAGGAAATGAAAGACCCGCAGCTGTGTTTAGCTCAGGCCGGGAGGTAAACAAAGATGAACAACTTTATAAAGACGAGATGTAAAATGAATATAGTAAGACCAGACTATGACCAGAGACCTCATGTCTCTCTCCCCCCTCAGACAGGGGCTGACTCCCTCATGTCTCTTTCCCCCCTCAGACAGGGGCTGACTCCCTCATGTCTCTCTCCCCCCTCAGACAGGTGCTCTCTACCCTCCCGTGTGGGTATGTGTAAAGCTGCGTTCCGTCGTTGGTTCTTTGACTCTGACAGCGGCTCGTGTCAGAGGTTCATCTTCGGAGGCTGCGACGGCAACGACAACAACTTCCAGAGTCAGGAGGAGTGTGAGGCGGCCTGTCCCCTCAGAGGTACAGCTGCAAGATTAAGATTAAGAGATCCCTTATTTGTTCCACAGTGGGGAAATTTCAGTGTTGCATCACAAGTTATAGAACAGTAGGAAAGAGGAGCACACGGCACACCTTAAGTGAACAATAGCTATATTAATTAAAATAAAGCAAAATCTCTTACTCTAGCATCAAGATAGCATATAAAATCTCTATCTTGAAAATAAAAATAGATGTAAAAGTTTAACATTTGGCAGAATAAGAGGCAAGTATAAAGTACTGTTTATTCTAGTGCAAGTAAAGTGTAGTTATATGTTAGCAGCAGTACGTTTACATCTGTACATTAGCAGCAGTATGTTGGCATCTATACATTAGCAGCAGTATGTTTACGTCTGTACATTAGCAGCAGTATTGTCAGGAATGAACCAGAGTGGTGCGCCAAACTCTGGAAGTTTATTTAAGTTTCTCTCAAGTTCCAGTGGTTTCAATTGTTTCTTTCTCTCAGACAGAATAAAGGCAGTACAGTTTATATAGTCATTGTCACGTCACACATCGAAAGACGTACGTGTCACAAAGAGACTGCACATCAGTCAAAACATGGAGTCATCATCAGAGTCCTTGTACAGTCCTGCACGTAGGCCATATTGCTATACTAACACCATGTTTACAGAGGTGTGTGTGAAGAGACAAATAAAAATAATATTTTGTGTCAGACAGATCCCTGCCTCTTCTGGGCTCAGAGCTGAAAGAGGGTGGTCCTTTCTTTGATCTAAAGATGTGACATCACAAATACATGATGTGAAACTAGTGACAGAAGCAACTATTTTAGAGTCTAAGACATGGGTTTAATACATAGTTCTATTGTGTTTTTTAAAGTTACGTTCCTCAGCTTTAGAGAACTGCTGCTTTAGTCATAGGTCAGGTTTCAGAGCAGAGGGGGAGGAGTTGCCCTCCCTCTTTCTATGTCTCTCTCATTATGTCTCTCAGGGCTCTGTGGCGCAATGGATAGCGCATTGGACTTCTAAGCTTCACTGCAGTGATTCAAAGGCTGTGGGTTCGAGTCCCACCAGAGTCGCTTTTTAAAACAAATGAGTAGAAACTGCACGAGTCAGCAGGAACGGCAGGAGAGGATCAGACTCTGTTTACTACATTCACAAGTTAAAAAAATAGGAGTTTACTTTGACATGGAAGTCAATAGGAGCCAAACTTCACCATGAGCACTTCCCTAATGGCCTTCATTGAGCTGGCAGGTTAGCATTGAGCTAGCAGTTTAGCAACAGTGTGTGTAGAGAAATGAAGACAAGGCAGCAACGATTGCACCTTGTCTCTTCAGATTTGTTAAGTTTGAGCTGCTGATTGTTCATCATGCGTCAGACTCAAGTAATCTTTATTTACTGTAACAATCTCAGAACAAAGACGTTCAGTTCTTCAGATAATAACGTTTAGCAGTGACAAAGGTCTAAAGTACAGAACATACAGCTCAGATTCTAAACGGCTCAGTATTTGTAGAAAGCAGTAAAAAGAGATGTTAAGAAGAGTCTTTATGCCTTAGATCTGTTTCTACTTCCTCAAGATGTCACTGTCTGTTGAACTGCAATCGTGGTCTGGTTTCTTGTTTTAAAAAGCGACTCTGGTGGGACTCGAACCCACAACCTTTGAATCACTGCAGTGAAGCTTAGAAGTCCAATGCGCTATCCATTGCGCCACAGAGCCCTAAAGCCTGCACTTTAGAGAGAGAGAGAGAAGAAAGAGACCAGAGAGTTTGGTTTTGTGCAAATAGAAACTGCCCAAAACAAACAGTTGCTTTTAGTGAGCGTCCGCTGCTGCTTCACACCTCCAGCAGAAGAGGGCGCTGAAGCAGCTTTGAGTTTTCCTGAGGGAGGGGCCACTCTGCTCATGTCAGCCCCATCAGTGAGCATCCTTTCAAGCCTTTAGACATGTAAAAGTAAACTCCTAGCTCTAGTTTGTTGTTTAGAGCTCTCTGTAATCTTGGTGTTTATATTGTGATATAAACATGTATCTGTCTGTCTCTGATGTCACCTCTAATGCCCCAACTCCGCCAACTGCGCGCTGCTGAAGCCGGTGTGGCCACTATTCCTTTTTACGCACGTCTGACGCACGCAGCCTACACACGTAAACGGAGACGCGGCCGGTGGAGTCCAGCACTAACTCGTGTCTGTTTTTCAGCTGCTGTCAACGAGGAAGAAAAACCTCCGGTAAAAGCATATCTCAATGCCCTGCCCCCTCAGACGAGTATGGTCACGCCCCCTCAGACAGGTATGGTCACGCCCCCTCAGACAGGTTTGGATCCCATAAGGGCCTACAGAGACGTGATCTACATCGTACAATCCACGTAGACCAGACTGGACCAGAGTGGACTGGACTTGGGTCTAACCTTTGCTCTCTGTTCCAGGTCTCAGTGAGGACTTCCCGGAGCCCAATGGTAAATGTGTTTCATGTGCTTTTTTAATATGGTCCTATCTGGATTTACAAAGACAACATCACATATAAACAGTAGGATCACAGAGAGCGATAAACCTCAGATTTCAGCCCAAAATCACACAAACGTTACTGAGATAGAGGAGTTTCCTTTTACATCAAAGTCAATAGGAGCCAAACTTCACCATGAGCACTAGCGGGTTAGCATTGTCCATCTGGGTGCAGTTTAACAAATGCCCATTTAATGTAATTGGCTCCAGCTTATGGTCAAATAGACTTCTTGGGCAATAATACCAAGGGAATGTTTTGAGGAAACTGTTTGTGTCAAACCGGTTTGACATAATTCTTCATAATCTGTTTTTGTTTCCACAGAAATGAGTCAGGAGCAGTTTTCAGGTGAGAGGCCTCTGCTTTAAAGGAGACGTGTGGTGGGGTCTTTCTGGTCTTTCTCTACGGTGTCTCTCTGGTCTCTACCCCCCCGGTGGCTGTGGGACAGTATTACCTTTGGAAACTCATGTAATAGTCCTTCACTGTCTAAAACAATCAACTCGCCAACAGAATAAGAATTGTGTATTTAAAGGGAAAGTATGTATGTAATATTTCGTCACATGACACGTGTCTGTAACAGTCACATGTTCCTCTGTCAGAGCTGTGTGCGGCGCCCCCGGTGGTGGGTCCATGTCGTGCCGCCTTCCCGCGCTGGTTCTACAGCAGCACAAACTCTCGCTGTGAGCTCTTCATCTACGGAGGCTGCAGAGGGAACAAAAACAACTACAGAGATGAGAAGGAGTGCAGCGCCACCTGTGACCGTGAGCAAAACTATGCATATACACTAAGTACACATCCAAACTCTGGTCCCTCTCTGGTCCCTCTCTGGTCTCTCTCTCTGGTCTCTCTCTCTAGTCTCTCTCTCCCTTTCTCTCTTCTGTATGGTGTAAAGTCGACACGGGTCCTATAAACACTCATACATTCCCACATCAGTGATGTTTTTTTTTCTTCAGGAGTGAAAGTTCTGCCGTCGAAGAAACAGCTGCCGGAGATGTCCGAGGAATACAGAGGTGAGACCAGAGAGAGAGAGACCGACCAGAGAGAGAGAGACCGACCAGAGAGAGAGAGACCGACCAGAGAGAGAGAGACCGACCAGAGAGAGAGAGACCGACCAGAGAGAGAGAGACCGACCAGAGAGAGAGAGACCGACCAGAGAGAGAGAGAGAGACCGACCAGAGAGAGAGAGAGACCGACCAGAGAGAGAGAGAGAGAGACCGACCAGAGAGAGAGAGACCGACCAGAGAGAGAGAGACCGACCAGAGAGAGAGAGAGAGACAGACCAGAGAGAGAGACCGACCAGAGACCCCTGACTTTCTCCCTCTCTCTCCTCAGCTGTGTGTGCGGTGGCCCCCGAGTCTGGCCCCTGTCGAGCCTCTTTCCCAAAGTTCTACTACGATCCGGAAACTCAAAGCTGCAAGAGCTTCATCTACGGAGGCTGTAAAGGAAACGAGAACAAGTACGAGACCGAGGAGGAGTGTGAGGCGCGGTGTGGGGACCCAGGTGAGCTACTACTACTACTACTACTACTACTACTACTACTACTGCAAATACTACTACTACTGCAAATACTGCTACTACTGCAAATACTTCAAAAACTGCTATACTGCTGCAAATACTTGGTCCTGGACATTGACCTCTGCTTGTTTCCTGCAGAATCCTTTGAATCTCGTGGAAAAGGACACAGCCGTTGGACTGCAGGTCAGACTCTCTCTGGTCTCTCTCTGGTCCCTGAGAAACTATTTCTTTGAGATTAAATTTTGACAAAGTTATTTTCTGTGTTCAGCCTTCTTCCTCTTCCTCGCTCTTGGCGCAGTCTCCTGCCTCTTATTGACTGCGCTCATCTTAATCACCGTGAGACGCCAGAGGAACCAAAGACACCTGTCCATCAGGTAAGAGCAACTTTAGACCTGTTTTAGACCAGTTTTAGACCAGTTTTAGACCTATTTAAGACCTGCTTGTCCTTGTGTTTGAAGGAGTGATAAAGAGGAACTTCTCCCAGACTCTGAACGCGCCTCATTGGATTCTCTGCCGCTGCCTGAGAGCCCACAGCAAACCTGAGTCCGCCTTAAACCCTGCAGTCCGCCTTAAACCCTGCAGTCCGCCTTAAACCCTGCAGTCCGCCTTAAACCCTGCAGTCCGCCTTAAACCCTGCAGTCCGCCTTAAACCCTGCAGTCCGCCTTAAACCCTTCAGTTAATCTGTTTAAGGTGGTATTCTTGTGTTTGATTGGTTTGTGGGTCTCTTCAGAATTGTTTCACTTTTGTTCGGCTCAAATCTAGATTAAAATGAGGATTATTCATAGTAGAATTAGAAGTTGTGTTTTTTTCTGTCACTGGAGGAGGCTCTCACACCTGCTGACGTGTGATCTCCATCCCCACACACTGCTTTCAAACCTGTTACACTCTGTCTCCACCGCACCATGTCGGATGCACATTGTAAACACTCCTCTGATGCAGATCTGTTACGGTCACTGTCAGTCATTGTTTTTACTTTTTAAGGATTTGAAGTCATTTTGCTGCTTTTTAAAACTTCTTTTGAGTGTTTTCACTGTTGTAAAATCAAATCTGCTCCTCGTTTACTCCAGGACTGGGCCTCAGGGGGGGTCATAGTGGGGGGGCTACAGTAGTATAGTGGTGTCTCTCGTTCCTGTGTGTTTTCTGAGGCTACTCCTGATTGTTTGCACTGTGTTTAATGAAGGATCAGATGTTTTTAATTCCAATAAAAAATTCTAACAAAGTCTGTGTTACTATGGTTCTCTCGGGTCCTCGCCATCAACTCACCATTTGTCCGTTTCTCAACATGTGTCTAGAGAGACTCTGGTTCTCTGATGGCTATGGTTAGATCGGCGGTTGCATAGATCGTCCAATGAGCACGGGCCCCTTATGTCTGTGACACGGGGCTAGAAAACTCCGTTTGAAAAGCTCACAGTAGGATTATCAAGAGGCTAACTCACTACATGCTAACTTGCTTCATGCTGACGACTGTGTTGGGTAAGTTACTATGAAACTAATTAGTTATGAATTACTAGTTTCTGGGTTTAAAACTCCACCCACCACAACATGAGACGACATGGTCTTCAGCACCAGGACTGTTGTGGACCATGTGTCTCAAACACGTAGGCAGGAAAATGGTTCAGAGCCAGAATAAACTAGACAAACATTACCATCTTTCTCTTGCTTCTTTATTCATATAAACACGGATACCTTTGTTATACCTCATTTGTTACAATAGCATTAGCTTACATATGGGTCAAAGATGTCTGTTTAACAATATATAATAAAGTGTAACAGTTACTGTTCTGTAAAATCAGGAGTGATCAGAGGACTTTCTCTCCACTCTTACTGGTCTCTCTCTTTGGTCTTTCTCTAGTTTCTCTCAAATCTCTCTAGGTCCCTCTGTGGTCTCTCTCAGGTCTCTCTCTCCGAGACCCAGAGAGAGAGGCCCAGTCCCAATACTCGCACTTCGACCCTCGCGCCCCTCATTTGTGCGTTCCCGATGATGGGTGCGAATTCTCCAGGGAGGTCTTTGGCCCCGCCCCCTTTGCGCCCCTGATCCACACTTCGCCGTAGCCTGCATCTATGCGCACTCTGGCGAAGGATATTGCCCATAATTCTTTGCGGTACACACCAAAACGTCGGGAAAATGCATTTAATATAAATTTTGAAATATATTTATATGCAGTATGTGTGTAAATAAGTTTTGCTATGTTACTTGGAAAGAAGCATAAACGTTTGAAGAAGAATTACGGACATTGTGTTTAATAACGTTTTAAAGCAAGCGTTTATACAACATTCAATTTAAACTTTATACTTAGTACAATAATCTTAGAATGTATAAAAACTGACCAGATAACAGTTAGTTACCCACATTTAACTTAAAATTATACAGCTATCTCTAATTAAAAACAACTAATATACATGTATTTTAACGTGTGTGAAGCAATTCATTTTGTTTCCCAAAGGGTCAGACAAAATTACCTTTAATGTTTATAAAGTTTAGGTCTGAAAATGACCATCTCTTGACGAGTCGATGACGTAACCTGCACTCAGTGTGCACTGTCCCAATTCTGCCTTTTTTGCACACTTGTAACCTGCGCACTCCAACCCTGGTGTGCACTTCGAACAAATGCACACTTCGTAGAGGGGTGAGCATTGGTATTGGGCCAGGGAAAAGAGAGCGAACAGGGAGAGATCACAGATAATACACCTTACTGTTATAGATTTTTTATTAGGCCCGAGCCCCGAACGGGGTAAGGGCCTATTGCTTTCACAATGGTGAATGCAAGTGGTGGCGGTGAGTGACGGACGCCAATTATCAAGTTTTAACAAGTCTTTATTGGGCTTAGGCAACAAAGTTATTAAACCAGTTTTCATTGTTGGGGATAATTTGCCATCGAAAATTATATCTTTATATGCGTTAAATAATAGTTGTTTTATATCTTGCCAAAACGTTTTATAGAATTCTATCGTTAGTCCATCTATTCCGGGTGATTTCCCCTGTTTCATTTCTTTGAGAGCATTTTCAATCTCTGAAAAGGTGAGCTCTTCCTCTAGTAATTGTTTATCTCTACTTGATATTTGATTCCCATTGTTTTGAATTAAGTTTAAAAAATAGTCACATTTATCTTTCTGAAATTTATTCATATATAAATTACTGTAAAAATTGGTTACTTCTTCCATTATTTTAGTAGGGTCCTCAATAACAGTATCGTCTTTACTTAATTTGGTGATATTTCTTCTAGATTGACGTCTTTCTTCAAGACTGTAAAAATATGTTGAATTTTTCTCCCCCTGTTCAATCCATTTGGCTCTGGATCTTATGCTCCTTTTGCCTTCTCTAAGTACATATTATCTAATCGGTTTTGAAGCAAATGTAACAGCTCTGTTTCTTCATCAGTTAAAGTTGACTTTTCACATAAATTACTTATTTTTTCTACCATCTCTTTTTGTAAGGATTTGCGAGCCTCTACAATCTTTTTACTTGTCTCAATAGCTATCGCTTAACTTTGAATTTGAACCATTCCCATTTACTAATATTTGACAGTTCCAGCATAGATGTTTCAGTGACAATTGTTTGAACTTGAACAAAAATCTTCATTAAGTAATAAAGAAATATTATGTTTCCATACATTAACAGATTTATCTTTTTTGTTTCCTGATGTAAAGAAAATATTAATATTACAATGATCTGTAAGAGGGGATGTTTGAATATCACAGTTAGTGATTGTATTTATTAACGTTAGGGACACCAGCCAGTAATCAAGCCGTGAACATATATTAGGGTCTGCTGGGCGTATACCCAAGTACATATAATCGAATCTGGGTTTGCTATTCTCCAGTAGTCAATCAAATTATTGTTTAAACAAAAGTTGTCCATAATACTATTATATATCGGTTGTGGTCCTTTAGAAGGTTTTCTGTCAAGCCAAGAATCAGGGGCAATGTTAAAATCACCACCCAGAATTAATTTGTGAGTACCACGCGTTATCCTCCATTCTCCCATACACTGAGTTATCTTTGTTAGCATATTCCTGTTAAGAGCTCTGTTATTGTATCCATATATATTAACTAAGATAAATTTGGAATCAAGCATTTCTACAACAACCATTGACCAATGCCCTTCCTCGTCATTTTTATGATCAATAATTGTTCCATTAAACCTCCATTTCCATCCATCCATTTTATACCCTTTAATCCATTTCTGGGTCAGGGGGGTGGCAATCAGAGATGCCACCCAAGTCTCATAGCAGCAGCCCCTCACTGACCCTCTGCAGGTGGTGAGTCCACAGGAGGACGGCTGCTCTCTGAGTGTGAGCATAGCCTTGATCCATTAAACCTGTTAAATAAAATCATCACCCCTGCTGAATGAGAAGTACCATGTAAATAGAAAATATTATCTCCCCATTGTTGCTTCCAAAACTTTTCGTCATCTTTAGTTGAATGTGTCTCTTGCAAAAAAATAAGATTAGCTTTTGTCTCTTTACAAAATAAAAATAATGCCTTACGTTTAACAATGTTTTGTAAACCTCTAATTTTTAACGAACTTAAATGAACAGACATAAAAAAACAAAGTTCTTATCCGCTTTTGAACTACGCTAGGTAAGAATAAAGTGATGAGCAGGAATGAGCAAATTGTCCAATAACATTTATATGATCCATTTCTAATCCTCACTACAGAACATTTATTATAGATGCATGTGATGCATGCGCGTACCTCACCGCGGTAAAGTGGGCCGCATCTTTCACCTCCGAAGTAAAACGGCCCGCATCGAGAGAAAAACAGTGCGCGTTTTGTTGACTACTTACGGTAATAGCGGTACAGCCTTTCGGAGTCACCTTTTCTCCTCGAACAGAAAGCGCGCTGAGGAGACTCGTTTTTGTGAATAAACCCATATTTGGAAAGCATTTAATTTGGTCAAAAAGTGAAATTTTCAGCAGCTGTCCATTTTTACAGTAAAGACTTGTGTGGCTTATTCCACTGGGTTCATGACCTCGATATAGCTGCCTTCAACGCTGTGCCTACAACCACACACCTTTACTGTGGAAATGTTGGGTAAAATTGAGACAAAGTACACTTTAGTGCAAAATACACAAAACTATAAAAACATTCCCGCTTTTGATCTACTGTAACTATTTACTGTAAAAAGGTGTGTGACTCATTTCAATGGATTCATGTCCTCATTATTATGTTCTACCACTGTGCCAAAGACCAGAAACTTTTACTGTAGACATTTGGAGAAATATGGAGTTAAAGTAGCCATTTTGGTTCAAAGTAGCCAAAAAATGGTCAAAACATGTCACTTTTGATCTACTGTAACTTTTTACTGTAAAAAGGTGTGCGACTAATTTCACTGGACTCATGACCTCATGATTGCCCTCTACCGCTGTACCAAAGACCAGAAACATTTACTGTAGAAATATTGAGAAATATTGATTTAAAGTAGCCATTTTGGTCCAAAATACCTCCAAAATAGTCAAAACATGTAACTTTTGATCTACTGTAACTTCTTACTGTAAAAAGGTGTGCGACTAATTTCACTGGATTCCTGACTTCATTATTGTCCTCTACCAGAGCTGTATTTGCATTGCCGGCAGGTGCAGGCTGCCCTTTTTCACCGCTTCTGTTCACTGTCATAATGGACAGAATTTGTAGGTGCAGCCAGGGGCCGGAGGGGGTCCGGTTCGGAGACCACAGGATTTCATCTCTGCTGTTTGCAGACGATGTTGTCCTGTTGGCTCCAAGGAACCAGGACCTGCAACATGCACTGTGACGGTTGCAGCCGAGTGTGAAGCGGCTGGGATGAGAATCAGCACCTCCAAATCCGAGACCGGAAAAAGGTGCCTTGCCCTCTCGAGTAATGAGTAATTCAGATTCAGATTCAGTTTATTTGCAGTAAAACAACCACATTGGAATACATGAGTAAAAGTCTCCAGTGTGTACAGACATAATGATTAATGAGTAATGATTATTTATATAGCGCATTTATATATATATATATAAAAAAATGATATAGCGGAAAAAAAAGCATCTGCGCATGCGTCAGCCGGCGCAAGCTCCATTCATTTGAACGAGAGACTTAAAAAATTCACAGCGAGTAAAGTAGAGTGGTCCAAAAAAATTCACCCCCCTCAGCATTGACACACATGTGGAACGGAGCTTTGGGCCAAGAGCCAACTTTTGGACCATCCTTTTCGAGAGGTCTGCCAATGCTATACGTTAGCATTGGCTAATTCTTATTCCGGGTCCACCCCCATCGGCCTGGGGTGGTATTGCAAACATGTCAGCGCATCATTTTGGCCACTTTCGAGCCGGGACCCGCCCCCACTGATCAGCCCCCAATCTTCACTATCCATTAATACCTATTGAGCATGTTTTTAGTGGTAGGGGAAACCGGAGCACCCAGAGGAAACCTGCAAACTCCACTCAGTAAGGCACTGTTCCGACTGGGATTTGAACCCAGGACCTTCTTGCTGAAAAGCGAGAGTGCTATCCACTCAGCCACCGTGCCGCCAAAGTGGAGAGCTCCTTCCTCACGTGGAGGAGTTCAAGTATCTCGGGGTCTTGTTCACGAGTGATGGAAGGATGTAGCGTGAGATTGACAGGTGGATTGGTGCAGCGTGCGCAGTGATGCGGACACTTTCGATTTACCGGTCAATTCTTGTTCCCTCCATCACCTCTGGTCATGATCTTTGGATAATGACCGAAAGAACGAGATTGTAGATACAAGCGGTGGGAAAGACTGGTTGGGCACTCCCTTAAGGTGTTTTCACCCCGGACTCAACTTAGACTTGAAAAGCGTCAGTTTTGCACTGAAAATGAATAGTGAAGCGCGTCAAGTGACGCTGAGAGGCCCGGCTTCACTTGAAGCGCTTCAAAAGACGCGAGCATTATGCGCGTCACTTGAAGCTTTTGACACGCGTAATGCTTGCGTCTCTTTTGTCGTAAAAAAGTCCCTTAACGCCGAAGTTGAGAAAAGCTTTTGGAGCTTGACGCCGGGCTTCAACCAATCTGGAGACGAGGAGCAGCAGCAGCAGCAGCAGCAGGGCTGTCATGTAGCTGCTGCTGCTTTTTCATTGCCATTATTGTTATTTGTAATATTATTTGTATGAATAGTAACGTTCTTAAAAAGTAAGTGTCAGGATTCAGCAGACAGAGACGGATCGTGGTGCGCCAAACTCTGGAAGTTTATTTAAGTTTCTCTCAAGTTCCACTGGTTTACTTTGTTTCTTTCTCTCAGACAGAATAAAGGCAGTACACAGTTTATATAGTCATTATCACGTCACACATCGAAAGACATACGTGTCACAAAGAGACAGTCACATCAGAGTCATAACATGGAGTCCTTGTAGAGTCCTTGTAGAGTCCTGCACGTAGGCCATATTGCACGTAGGCCATATTGCTATTTACGACAAAAGAGACGCAAGCTTTCTGAGTGGAGTTTGCATGTTCTCCCCGTGTCTGCGTAGGTTTCCTCCGGGTACTCCGGTTTCCCCTACCACTAAAAATATGTCCAATAGTTCTGGCATGTGCCTCCTGTACAGGCGACCCCGCTCCCATCTCTGCCAGACAAATGCCAAAAAATAACAATTGTAAACCGCTTTGAGACTCAGATCTGCAGTGAAAAGGCGGTATATAAATAAAAACGTACAAAACGTACGTACATCTAATACTAACACCAGTAACACAATCAATGTACATATGCTGTGAAGTTAAAGTAATTTATTTAGTATAAGAACAAGCTAAAGCTGGCTCAGACACAGCAGACTGAAAGACAGGCGCTCCTCCGCGGGAATCAGTGCGACTCCGGCCCCTTTGGTGTATTTTTTACCAAGGGGGGTACTTTGACTAATTATTTCTCAAAATTTCCACAATAAAAGTTACAGTAGACCAAAAGTGACATGTTTTGACCATTTTTAGGCTATTTTGGACCAAAATGGCTACTTTAAATCATCAATATTTCTCAATATTTCTACAGTAAAAGTTTCTGGTCTTTGGTACAGTGGTAGAGGGCAATCATGAGGTCATGAATCCAGTGAAATTAGTCGCACACCTTTTTACAGTAAAAAGTTACCGTAGATCAAATGTGACAAATGTACCGTAGATCAAATGTGTTTACGCCGCATGGCGCCGTAAAGATGGCGCCGTGGCAAGAGCTCTGGTGTGTGTCTGGTGCACACCGGGGTAGTCTTGCACAGTTTTCCAATGTGGTTTTACTGCAAATGGCAAACTAGCCATAGATATTTATCTATCTATCTATCTATCTATCTATCTATCTAAATGAATCTGAATCTGACATGTTTTGACCATTTTTAGGCTATTTTGGACCAAAATGGCTAGTTTAAATCAATATTTCTCAATATTTCTACAGTAAAAGTTTCTGGTCTTTGGTACAGTGGTAGAGGGCAATAATAAGGTCATGAGTCAAGTGAAATTAGTCGCACACCTTATTCCAGTAAATAGTTACAATACTTGAAAATTGCACTAGCGGACCAAATTGTGTACTTTATATATGTAAACAATAGAGTGGCTATCCTCCTGAGGACTCACAATCTGCAGGAGGAATCGTAGGGGGCTGGTGCTATGTGTACTGGGTGGCATCTCTATAAGGTTTTAATCACAAAAACGTGTCTCCCTGACCCCAGCGCGCTTTCTGTTCGATAAAAATGGGTGACTCCGAAAGGATGTTCCGCTGTTACCGTAAGTTCTCAAAGAAACGCGCACCGTCTTTTCCCCGATGCGGGCCGCTTGTTCATAGAGCTGAAAGATGCGGGCCACTTTACCGCGGTCGTACCTCGCACTTGAACGTACGTCACATTCCTGCGCCGTAGCGGAAGCAACAGTTCGGAGCCAAAATGGCGCCGTGTCGGAGCCAGACCCCAGCCGCTGCAGATGTGGGTTAAACAGGCGAAGTGTGCATTTCATCACCTAAAACCCCTCAGTGCGCGGCCGTGAGAGGCAGAAAGTGACGTACAGGGACCCCTCGAGCCCAGCTGAGCAGCGCCAGCCCCCTACTGGATAAATGACGTGAGGTTTGCTGTTTATCCGAGAGTAGCGTGTTATGCTAGGCTAACGTGCCGAGTCACCGGGGACAGAAATCTGACTATAATCACAGTGTGAGTTTGTAACGTGTTTAACAGACTTTTAACACGTTGTATTATTTAGTTTCAGTCTGAGTTCAGTCTGGATATGGGGTTAATGACGGAAGCAGCGGGTTCTCCATCATAAACATGTTTCTGTCACTAACACGTGACTGTCCTGCTCTGTCCACAATAGTGTCTGTGATGGTCTAGTCTTTAACCTCACCCGAACCAGTTTGACTCCGGTTTAGACTGTCCTCTGTGAATCTGGACTCAGGTCTGATCTAACGGGACGTGACACAGATTTAAAATTTCAGAGAAAATCCGCTGAGTCAGGACAGGGCTTTACACACACACGCTGTGTGAGACCAGAGAGGGAGAGAGACTAGAGATGTTTTTATTTGGTTGAATGTCCCAGGTTTGACATAATAGCTCTAAACTCTAAGGTGTGCTTGTTGTGCGCAGCTGGACATGGCGGAGAGGCGGGTGGAGCTCCAGTGGAAGAGACACATCTGTGAAGAACTGAAGCTGAGAGACCGAGTCCAGAGAGCTGCCTTTGAGGAAATTATCCTCCAGTGTGAGACACCCTACAAGCTAATGAGAGCGAGAGCTGAGAGAGCAAGAGAGCAGAGCGGGAGGGAGAGCAAGAGAGCAGAGCGGGAGGGAGAGCAAGAGAGCAGAGCGGGAGGGAGAGCAAGAGAGCAGAGCGGGAGAGAGAGCAAGAGAGCAGCGGGAGGGAGAGCGGCAGAGGGAGAGCAAGAGAGCAGAGCGGGAGGGAGAGCAAGAGAGCAGAGCGGGAGGGAGAGCAAGAGAGCAGAGCGGGAGGGAGAGCAAGAGAGCAGAGCGGGAGGGAGAGCAAGAGAGCAGAGCGGGAGGGAGAGCAAGAGAGCAGAGCGGGAGGGAGAGCAAGAGAGCAGAGCGGGAGGGAGAGCAAGAGAGCAGAGCGGGAGGGAGAGCAAGAGAGCAGAGCGGGAGGGAGAGCAAGAGAGCAGAGCGGGAGGGAGAGCAAGAGAGCAGAGCGGGAGGGAGAGCAAGAGAGCAGAGCGGGAGGGAGAGCAAGAGAGCAGAGCGGGAGGGAGAGCAAGAGAGCAGAAGGAGGGCGTGAGCAGGGGGAGGGCGTGAGCAGGGGGAGAGAGCGACCAGAGAGATGAAAAATGGTGAAATTAGGGACTTTACAATCACATTGGTGTTTCCCCCTGGTGGCAGTAGAGGGAGTTACAGGGAGCTCTGACTGCAGACGCTGCTCCCTCTGGTTTAGATTGTGAACAGTGTCATTGTGACTTGCAGATAATCGTCTCCTGGAGAAGTCCGACCTCCAGGCTGTTCTGTCTGAGCGATACCAGAGTGACAAGTATGAGAGACATGACACTGGGTGAGACGGGACACTGGGTGAGACGGGACACTGGGTGAGACGGGACACTGGGTGAGACGGGACACTGGGTGAGACGGGACACTGGGTGAGACGGGACACTGGGTGAGACGGGACACTGGGTGAGACGGGACACTGGGTGAGACGGGACACTGGGTGAGACGGGACACTGGGTGAGACGGGACACTGGGTGAGACTGGACACTGGGTGAGACCTCCTAACACCTCCTTCTGTTCCAGTTGTGTTCCGGACTCAAGCCGCAGTGATGTTCTCCAACAGGAAATGTCCCAAATGAGAATCAGACACCAGGAAGAACTGACGGAACTGCACAAGAAAAGAGGAGAGGTGAGAGCCTAAAGGCTGCAACTTTAACCCATTGAGGCCCGGAACGCATTTCTACCTTTCAAGGTGGAAGCAAAGTTGCGCACTTCTACTTTAAGGCCGGGAAAGCGGACACGTCTGTTTATCTATTTTTTGACCTATTCTCTTCATTGATCAATTCTCTGGACCAGTGAAATGTATCAGGAAAAACCAGGGATGAGAATTTTCTGCAAATTCTGACTTTTTCTCGCTGAAAATATAATTTATGTGAAATGTGTGACCACGGGCTGTTTTTTTTGCGTTACATACTCAAACGGGATTCACATCCTCCATTCTGACCTCAGGAGACGTTTTGTACCGACAGCCACAGCTCAGCGAACGCACAGCCGTAACAGCGTCATGTACAGAGCACGGACAGAACCATAGACGCGCGATCAGGACCATCCCCAGCTTGCTGCAAGTTCGGGTATTGCCTGTCTTCCTCGTTTCTCCCCCACGTCTCCCTTGTGTCTGATCACAAAGCGCAGCCAAACTCACTGAATTAAAGCTCAGGTACCTAATTTGTTGCTTGCATTGACAATGCATGTTATTTGGGCACAAAAGTACAATGTTGTGAGCAAATCAAACAGAACAAACCAATTATGCATACTTAAAGAGCCCTGTGAGTCATTATTTGACTTTTTGGGCTTAGAGTGGATTTTTTAACATTTCTTTCCACATAGTTAGTGCCATTTTATTGCCAAACTCGTTTTGACTTATTGTAATGAGAAACATGTGTTAGTCTCACATTATTTTTTGTTTTTTTTATTTCCTTTCCCATGTGGAAGATGTATCAAAAAAAAGTATTCTACTGATTTTAATACTTATAATAATACACTGCATTCTTATTGACAGCCACAGGTGTCAGGAAGTTGGCTCCAGGTTAAGTTAAAATAAACTCAAAGTTCTCCATGAGCTCTTCCCTATTGAGCTTCTTTGAGCTTTTGAGTTAGCAATGTCCATCAGGACCATGGATTACTAGCTTATAGCTGTCCCGCCCATCTGCACTTGCGGTATAGCAGACTAAATTCACTTTACCTAGAAAACTATCCCATGGAACACCATGTAAACTAAACAGCTCGACCTCAGCTGACAGAGCACCTACAGCTTTCACAAAGGAGGTGTCCTTCTTTGTCTTTAACTTTTTCTCTTGTTAACTCCTTCATCCATCCATCCATTTTCTACCCTTTAATCCATTTCTGGGTCAGGGGGGTGGCAATCAGAGATGCCACCCAAGTCTCATAGCACCAGCCCCTCACTGACCCTCTGCAGGGGGTGAGTCCACAGGAGGACGGCTGCTCTGAGTGTGAGCATAGCCTTGATCTTTCAGTGGGGGCTTTGGGCAAAGTGGGGTTAAGTGTCTTGCCCAAGGACACAACGACAGCAGTCATCAGTGGGAGTCGATGGAGAAGGTACAGAGGTGGGAATTGAACCCACGACCTTCTGGCCTTAAGGCCAATGCTCTACCAACTGAGCTACTGTTAACTCCTTCAATTTTCTACAAATCCACACTTTAGTGCAACAAACTGCTGTTTTTCTTCCCGCTCTAGCTTTGATCTGATTGGTCAGATCGCTTCCCCTCTGTGCACCATCAATAGCCACGCACACACTCGTTAATATTTGGTGCAATGCATCATGGGAGCTCGACCACTGCACAGAACCAGAAGGACCAGAAAAATCCCAAATGTGGGCGAGTTCCGCTAATGTTTCTGTGCCCACGGTGGAGCGCCACTGAGCACACACCAGGCGCCATCTTGGATCTTGCTCTGTGTACAGTCTGCTGACGTTTATAACCGATCCTTGGTCTAAACAGCTCTGTACTGGTTTTGTTTTTATCGATTTGTTTTGTTTTTGCAGTTGGCGCAAAACGTCATTGACCTGAACAACCAAATCCAACAGAAGGACAGAGAGATCCAGAGCAACGAGACTAAGTAAGAGACCAAAGGCAGAGGGGTAGAGACCAGGGGCTGTTTGTGATGCTGGGTGAGGGTGAGGCTGACGGTCTCTCTCTGAAGTGTGTGGGTAAGGGTGAGGCTGATGAGGGTGTGGTTCTTTTGGGAGAGAAAGAGGCCGTTGTCTCCTGTATGAGCTGAAAGAAGACTATCATTTACATATAAACAGCTCCAGTCAGGAGTCGTTCATCTGAGGAGGAGGATCCCAGTAGTGGTCTGCTGCTATAAGACCAGAAACCAGGACCTGGGTCTGCAGAGGAGGACCAGAGACCAGGACCAGGGTCTGCAGAGGAGGACCAGAGACCAGGACCAGGGTCTGCAGAGGAGGACCAGAGACCAGGACCAGGGTCTGCAGAGGAGGACCAGAGACCAGGACCAGGGTCTGCAGAGGAGGACCAGAGACCAGGACCTGGGTCTGCAGAGGAGGACCAGAGACCAGGACCTGGGTCTGCAGAGGAGGACCAGAGACCAGGACCTGGGTCTGCAGAGGAGGACCAGAGACCAGGACCTGGGTCTGCAGAGGAGGACCAGAGACCAGGACCTGGGTCTGCAGAGGAGGACCAGAGACCAGGACCTGGGTCTGCAGAGGAGGACCAGAGACCAGGACCTGGGTCTGCAGAGGAGGACCAGAGACCAGGACCTGGGTCTGCAGAGGAGGACCAGAGACCGGGACCTGGGTCTGCAGAGGAGGACCAGAGACCGGGACCTGGGTCTGCAGAGGAGGACCAGAGACCGGGACCTGGGTCTGCAGAGGAGGACCAGAGACCGGGACCTGGGTCTGCAGAGGAGGACCAGAGACCGGGACCTGGGTCTGCAGAGGAGGACCAGAGACCGGGACCTGGGTCTGCAGAGGAGGACCAGAGACCGGGACCTGGGTCTGCAGAGGAGGACCAGAGACCGGGACCTGGGTCTGCAGAGGAGGACCAGAGACCGGGACCTGGGTCTGCAGAGGAGGACCAGAGACCGGGACCTGGGTCTGCAGAGGAGGACCAGAGACCGGGACCTGGGTCTGCAGAGGAGGACCAGAGACCGGGACCTGGGTCTGCAGAGGAGGACCAGAGACCGGGACCTGGGTCTGCAGAGGAGGACCAGAGACCGGGACCTGGGTCTGCAGAGGAGGACCAGAGACCGGGACCTGGGTCTGCAGAGGAGGACCAGAGACCGGGACCTGGGTCTGCAGAGGAGGACCAGAGACCGGGACCTGGGTCTGCAGAGGAGGACCAGAGACCGGGACCTGGGCTGCAGAGGAGGACCAGAGACCGGGACCTGGGTCTGCAGAGGAGGACCAGAGACCAGAACTGAGGTTTGCAGATTCAGACCAGGACTGAGGTCTGCAGAGAAGCAACCTGCAGCGGGAACTGTCTCTCCCAAAACAGTAAATCCAGGAAGTGTAAAAGCAGAAAGAGGAGCCTCAGTCCAGCAAAGAGTGGCAGATGGTCTTTTGGAACCTTGTATCCAATAGTCTCTGTAGTCTCTGACCTTTGAGTCTGGAACAAAGGTTTCTGAGGACCATCAGCTGATAGTGGGTCATTACAGCTCTGGAGGTCTCTCTGTTTCTCTGTGAGTGTGTTTCTCTGATGTTTTCTCTGTGCAGGATGTTGGAGCACCAGCAGCAGATCAGCACTTTGGAAGGAGATTGTAGAGAGCTGAGGAACACACTCCAGGTGAGACACACACGCAGAAACAAACGCACACACAGGTGAAGGTCGATGATGTGACATGTAAAAGGTCTGAGCTGCTTCCGTTCCTCTAAAGCCTCAATCTCCCAATGAGCCTTTGCTCTGCTCCCAGCATGCTTCAGTGCTGCTTGTTGGCTCAGAGCTCGCTCACAGCAACAGGAAGTGGCATCACTGCAGCAGGGCCTGTACTGAGCTCCTATTGGCTCCAGGGTGATGTCACTGCTACAGACCAATCAGAGCAGAGGAAGAGGCTGAGGGGCGGGAAAAGCACTGATCTACAGTTTTCAAGCTGAGACCTTTTTAACAGACAAGGACCGAGCTCTCAGAGTCCGATAATGACTCACAGGGCTCTTTCTGATGCAAATATGTCATGTTTTCAAACAAGAAGACGCCATGTTGGGTCTAATTTGCTTCCAGATATTAGACTGTTGTGCGTTTGAACATATTGTGCTTGTCCCGTATAGACCGTAATTAATCTCCAGACTCATTTGAACCTGTGTCAGGTCTTACATTTACACTTTGATGTCCGTGCTGGGCGGAGCAAACCTCAGTCCCAGTTCTACTAATGTGCTGAATGTAGAAATATAAACATGAAACTGTTTGTAGGAGCTGGAGCGAGCCAACCAGACGCTGAAGGACGAGTATGACGCTTTACAGATCACCTTCAGCGCTCTGGAGGAAAAACTACGAAAAACCACAGAGGACAATCAGGAGTTGGTGTCCCGTTGGATGGCAGAGAAGGCCCAGGAGGCGAACAAACTGAACTCGGAGAATGAGAAGGACACAAGGTAAGAATACACCAGACACAACAGAAGACACTCTAGAGCAGACACGCCCACAAAGGTCGATGATGTGACATGTAAAAGGTCTGAGCCGCTTCCGTTCCTCTTAAGCCTCAATCTCCCACGAGCTTTTGCTCTGCTCCCAGCATGCTTCAGTGCTGCATGCTGGCACAGAGTGCGCTCACAGCAACAGGAAGTGACATCACCGCAGCGGGGCCTGTACTGAGCTCCTAATGGCTCCATGGTGATGTCAGTGATACAGACCAATCAGAGCGGAGGAAGAGGCTGAGGTGCGGGACGAGCGCTGATCTACAGTTTTCAAGCTGAGACCTTTATAACAGACGCACCATCAGACGTTCAAGTAGATTTATTTATCGTCCTAAATCACAAGTCGCCTCAGAGGACTTTACAAAGTTGTGGATTCACCAACAACAGATCAGAGAATCAAACAGTTCAAACTCAGGAAACGCAATAATAACTGTAGTGGCGATTTGTCCATAACTCAAACCATGTCCATATTAAACCAAAACAAATCAAAAGGCCACTAAGGCGTTTTCAGGTTGGCTTTACGCAGGATAGAGAAAACATAATGTCCAAAGAAGTTGCATTTTTGTTGGGTTTATTCTCCAAGCAAATGGCAAACATGCAGAACTGCAACCTCAACTCTCGCTGGTAAAAAAACCATATGCCCAAAACGCCTCTATGCCGCGCCCTCCCCCCCCATCGCCCTATTTATCCTTGTGACCAAATTAAAATAAACATAAGCAATAATTAACCCAAAATTTTCTTTGCAAACTAAGAAAAATAATTAACTAAAGTAGATCATAATTAGAATCAAAAATAGACAAATAGCTCTAACAACCCAGCCCCTAATTGTGCATCCCACAATTAACCTTAGCGGCAGCAACCAGAGCTATTTTCTACCTATTACTATTAGGTAACTCTCCCACGTGATCTTCTGGTCGTCCTTCTCCTTTCCTGAAAGAAACAAAACAGGAGGAAAATAGCAATAGCGGGAGAGATAGACTGAATAGGATCACGTGGTGGCCTCCAGGAGGAGACAGAGCTTGGTAACGGGCCTCTCAAGGATACTGGTCTTGGTCTGGACTCTGACGGAGCGAACCAGTCCTCTCGAGTCTGATGTAGTGCTCAAAACTTTGCCCATCATCCAGGATCCTCTTGGAGCTGTTGAATCAGCAATGACCACAATGTCACCTGGAGAGAGGTTCCGCTTAACTTTAGTCCATTTCTGTCTTTCTTGCATCACAAGTAGATACTCTGATGTCCATCGTTTCCAGAAAAGTCCAGCGATGTATTGCACTTGCCTCCATCGACGCCTGACATAAATATCGGATGGTTCGAACAAGCCTGGTGGGAGAATGGGCTTTCCTTTTAACTGGAGGATGTGGTTTGGAGTGAGGGCTTCCAAGTCGTTGGGATCATCTGAGACTTTTGTGATTGGCCTGTCATTCAGTATTGCTTCGACCTCGCAAAACAAAGTCAACAGGCCTTCATCATCCAGAGTTTGCTGTCCCACAACAGAGGTAAGCACCTTTCTCACTGCGCGTATCAGACGCTCCCACACTCCACCCTGGTGTGAGGCTGCTGGCGTATTGAATCTCCATTTCACTCCTTCCTGGACATAAGCTTTCTCAATTTTGGACTGATTCAATGCATTCAGGGCCTGCTTCAGTTCCTTATTTGTGCCATTGTCTGACCTTATGCTCGTCAAAGGTCCTCTTCTGCAGACAAATCTTCGGATAGCATTGATGCAGGAGTCCGTGTCGAGAGACTGCGCCACCTCCAGGTGCACTGCACGGCGTACACTGTGATATGATGCTTCTGGCCGCAGAGTTTGCATTTATTACCCAGTACCTTTGTCTCAACCTGTGCAGCATGTGGTTACGTCCGGCATGTCCAAGCTGTTGATGAATATGACGTAATATTAAATGAGAAACATGCATATCTTTTGTCAGAATCACAGGATGTTTTACTTCTAGTGGTAGAGCCGACTTCGAGAGGCGACCACCGACTCTGAGAACACAATCATCAATGTACGGATCCAAACGATACAGAGGACAGTCTTTATTAACTGTTTTTGAACAGTCTTGTTTCAGTAAGGCAATTTCACTGCCAAATTTCTGTTGTTGAACAAAGCAAATAATTGTTTTTTCGGCTTCTTCCAAACGCTTTGGGGTTAAACTGGAGTTCCCAAGTTGGGCTTTAAACATTTCAAGTTCCTTGTCCATATTTTCACTTTCTTTACATTCCTTTCTTTTTTTACTCAAGAGCAGAAGCTTCTCCTTTAACTCCAGCCACCACGCTACAGATGTTTTGAGCTTTGTCCAGGAAGAAAAGTAGCAAACAAGTTGACTAGTGAAATTCTCACCTTGTGTTAAAACAGCATTAACTCTCGCTTCTCTTTTTACCTCTGGATCATCAGCAGGAACTGGGGTAAAATCCATGTCAAATGCAGTCCACTCACTTGGAGGTAGAGAAAGAAAATCTGGTCCTTTTATCCATTTTCCATTGATTAATCCTTTCGCTGTAAGACCTCGAGATGCCTCATCTGCAGGATTGTCCTTTGTGTGAACATATTTCCATTGGTCAGTGGTTGTTGCTTCTCTTATTGCAGTGATGCGATTAGCCACAAAAGTGTGAAAGCGCTTGGTTTCATTGAAAATGTATTTGAGAACCGTGGTGCTATCGGTCCAAAACACTGAGCTTTCCAGAGGAATTTGTAGCTCTTTCAACAGCATAGTGTCCACTCTAACAGCAAGTACAGCTGCGGCTAGCTCCAGGCGGGGAATAGTAACTTGCTTTAAAGGAGCAACTCGAGCTTTGCCCATGATAAAGGAAATGTGTACACTGTCCCCATTCTCCATTCTCAAGTATGATACTGTTCCATAGCCCGTTTGACTGGCATCGGAGAAATGATGCAACTGTGCTTTCACATGCGCTCCAAAACTTTGTGGTTTAATGCACCTGCCCACCTTAAATCCACATATTTGACGTAGCTCAAAAATCCATTCAGACCACTGTTTTGAAAATACAGTTGGAATTTGCTCATCCCATTTCAAGTTCATACGACATAGCTCTTGGAGCAGTAAATTGGCTGGAATTATAAAGGGAGATAAAAACCCCAATGGATCATAGAGTGAGCTCACCACGGATAAGATGCCCCTTCTGGTGTGTGGGCATTCCTGCACCTCGGTTCTAAAGCTGAATGTATCTGCTTGAACACACCACTGCATCCCCAGTGCTCGCTCTGTTGTGATCTCGTCACGATCCATGTCCATACTTTCCAAGCCCACTGCTCTTATGTTATGTGGGATTGCTGTGAACACATTTGCATTGTTAGTGACCCATTTAAGCAAACGAAATCTACCTTTTTCACAAAGTGATGTCAGCTCCTGAACTAACTGTATTGCATCCTCTTCTGTAGTTGTCGACTTTAAACAATCATCCACATAAAAGCATCTTTTGACTGTGTTTACAGTGTCCTTTTGAATATGCCAAAGCATTATCATCTGCAGTTATTCTCAATGCATAATTAGAACAACTTGGAGAAGATACAGCTCCAAATAAATGCACACACATTCTGTACTCCTGGCTCTTTTGCAGTGTCCCCATTTGGCCACCAAAGGAAGCGCAAGAAATGTACATGCTTGTGTGGGACCAACACCTGATAGAACATGGCATTAATGTCAGCCATTACTGCAATTGGCTCTTCTCTAAACCTGAGGAGAACACCAACCAGTGTATTGGTCAAGTCTGGGCCCTGAAGGAGCTGACTATTCAGAGATGTGCCTTTAAATGTGCAGCCACAGTCAAATACACCACGCAGTTTTCCCTTGGTGTGGTGATGTACTCCATGGTGGAGAATATACCACACCTTTCCTTCCTCTGGAGTCTGCTCACTTGTGGGAACCCTTTCTGCATATCCATTCTCAAACATGTTATTCAAAAAGTCAGTGTATTGAACTTTAAAGGAAGTATTCTTCTAAAATTTCCGTTTAAGACCTTGGAGTCTCTGTAAAGCAGCACAGCGATTGTTTGGCAACACAGGATCTTTGACTCTAAAAGGTAAATCAATGCAATAATGTCCATTTTTTTAACACTGTTTGTTCTACAATGTTCATGAAGTTAAGGTCTTCTCTTGACATTTCAAGCTGCACATCATAAGTTCTTTCATTGAAATCATTGTTGTACTGCTGCATTAACATTGTTTCCAAGTGCTCCACAGAAATGCGATTAGCAGTAACAACAGTGCAGCCTGTTTGGAGCCCAGCACCTCCAGAGTCTACTGTACGCAGGGGTCCATTTATAACCCAACCGATCTTTGTCCGCACTGCATATGGTCCATCATATTGACTATTAATTAGCTCCCATGGCTCTAAAACTTTGGGAGAGTCTGTTCCAATGAGTAAATCCACATCTGCATCCACTTCATGTATTTTTATGCTGCTCAGATAGGGCCATTTTGCAACATCCTCCTGTCGTGGTGCATTTACTCTGGACACAGGCAATGCAGTTTGAGTCAAAACAGATGGTAGTTCAATAAAGTCCTCTGTGTCCAAACCTGACACCTCTAAACCAGTTATTAGAGTGGTGTTTATGTTTTTGGTTTGCCCCATTGTCTTCAACTGAATATTGCAGCTTTTGCCTGTCGCACCGAGCCTCTCAGCCAAACTAGCAGTGCAAAATGTGCCAGAACTTCCAGGATCCAAGAAAGCATACGTTCGTATTGTCTTGTTACTTTTATGATTTTTCACATGTACAGCTACAATGGAGAAAACAGCAGCATCCTCTTCACCAGCCCCTATGTGACCACAAGTCTGCTCATGAACAACGCTAGAGCTCACAGAATTATTGTTGGAAGTATTATTCCTTTCAAAATGCAGAGCAGTTGGGTGCTTTCTTTTACACAAGTCACAATCCAAACGACTCCTACAGTCTTTGCTTGTGTGTCCATGCTTAAAGCAGCCAAAGCAAAGTCCCTTTTCCTTTAAGAACTGCATTTTGTCCTGCTGTGACTTTACCTTGAACCGTGAGCATTTGTCCAGAGTGTGATTACTGTAGTGACAGAATAGACATTGGGTCGTGTTTCTTTGAGAAGCTGTATTTTCTTTGCTTTCATCTTTATTTCCATCCTTTATTGAACTGACACTCGTTGCATAAGTTCCTCCTTTCACTTTTTGTCTTGTGTATGTTGAGGTGCTTGGTTTGCTTGCAGATATTGTTTCAATAACATTTCCAAACAATGGATCTGAATAAATTTTAACTTGTTTTTCAATAAAATTTACCAGATCAACAAATACGACTCTGGTTCCAGTTTGCTCCAATATATCACATGCCACATTCCTCCACTTTTCCCTGAGTTTATACGGCAGTTTCAAAACAATAGTCTTTAGATTGGCTGGCATGTCCAACTCCTTCATGTATTTGATCTGCTGAACCAGATTGGAGCATCCACGCAGAAACATGGAAAATGACTGAAGTGCATTGATATCCTCAGCTTTTATTGATGGCCAGTTATTTATTTTGTCCATATATACTGAAGAGATTTTGTGTTGCCAAAATGTTCAATGAGCAGTGCCTTTGCCTTTTCGAAACCAAGCTCGGAAGGGAGATGTTGACAACCTCTAACAATGTCTCTTGGCTGCCCCCTGGTGTACTGCTCCAAAAAGTACAGACAGTCACTAGTGTTAGTTGTTTTACTTTCAACACAATTTTCAAAGGCTCTCAAGAAGGATTTAAATTGTATTGGGTCACCCTCGAACACTGGCAGATTTCTCATTGGCAGAGCAGACGCTGAACTTTGTTGCACGAGTAATGCAGTGATGTCGTTTTGGCGCTGCATAATATTTAAAATGTTTGGAGATGTATGAGACGGGCTGAGCTCAAGACCATGTTGAAAGTCTTGTTCGTGTTCATTGTTGATTGGTTGCTGATTGATTGGTGGCTGTGGGATAGCTACATTTGGGTACTTTGAATTGACAACACCATCAGAAAAATGTAATGTATGACCTTTATTATTTATTGGCACGAACTGACCAGCATGTACATTTAGTTCAGTTGTCTTTGATATTTTTTTACCCAGATAAGAGTTCATTCCGTCAGATACATTTGAACCACGAATTGATGTTTTTGATCCACATTTTGAGATGGTTTCCAAAATTTCCAATTTTGCGTTTGCCACTTTCAGTTCAGTCTCCAATTCTAGTTGTTCCTTTTCTCTCCTTATTTCATCCTGCTTTGCACTTAATTCCAGCTTTAGTTGTTGTTCCTTCGCCTCCAGAAAGTGTCTTTGTTTTAACGCTGCCATACGCTCCCGTAGTGCTGCCAAATCCGTTTGTGCTTTTATTTTTGCAGAGGAAGTGGATGACGCTTTTGACAGTTTAGAGACGGCATTTGAGTGCGCTTTGCGACTGACGTTTGACGCACTGTCCTCTGGCCCCAAATCCTCACATTTGTCTCGTTTTTCCACTTTATTTGCGGTTGGCAGCTTATATGAATGTTCGGTATTAGACAGCCAGCTATTTACATCCACAATGAAGTTGGAAAATGTCATTTCTTTAGCGTCAAAATATGTTATTTGCTTGTCTCTTTCTTCTGTTGGCAGATCCAGTGTCATAAATGATTCATGTTTCTTTGCTTCTTCAACAGATTTTATCATTTGATCCAAAATAGTTTTCACTGCATAAACATTGTCCGTGTCTTGTATTAAATTACAGACTTGGTTCATGTACTTTTTTGCTTGCTTGAAATACGTGGATCTTTTATCCTGGCACGTCTGCATAAAATACATGATTCCTTTAGTACTGTAGCTTATTCTTCTCTTTGTCGAAACCTGCGTATCACTCGCAGCCTTGTGTGAAATGTCCGACATTGCTCGTACACTGCATTAAAGAACAAAGTCACTTGTGCTTGATGCGACACGTACCGTGGTAACGGACAGCGCTCTGGCTTGCAGCGGTGGCCCGTGGATGTTGCGCGCTCCAAAGACGCGCGCTCTTGAGTGAGTCACCTGTGCAGACTTTGGGCCCTCCAGCAACACCGCGTCCAATATGAAACAGATATCCAGTCTCCAAACAGCAAAATGTGGCTCCAGAGCTCCAATAGCGTCACAGTTATCCAATACGGTGTCCAGAATGGCCGTTCACTGTAGGATGACTGGGATTGAAGCTTGTGCGCTGCCTTTATCCACGCCGCAAAGTCTCGTCACCAAACTTGTCCAGTTGTGCAAGTAAATCCACGAAACCAGATGAGCAATCATACAAAGCTCAAAGTCCACGAAAGCCACAATAATATTCCAGGGGCAGTTTTTTACTTAAAGAGCGACTAAACACCAAATCAACTTTTTTTAACTCATAAACTGCATAAGTATGTTTATTGTAGTGCTGTCTACATATCCTGGTCATTTTTTTGACATTTTAGTTCAAATTAGATAAAATATCACTTTTGAGCCAAAAAACACTGTGTGGCGCCCTCTCAACCTTTTTGGTGGTACTACATTTGAATTTGGTTCTGGCCTCTCCATTGACTCTGAAGTTCTCTATGACATCAGTTGTTTTGTGTGACGTCAGTCTGTCAGAGCCAGTGATATAAACCCATCCAACTCTCACACACGCCCCAGCTGCAGTTTGGAGTATTCTGGCGCCATCTAGTGGATTAAAATTAAATTACATGAGTCATTCTGAGATTATTGAGTGTCAATTCAATTCTTACAATTATCTTAGTGTGTAAACAAGGATGGAATGAGACTTTCTGGTCTGTAAACTATTGCTTTAAGCAGCAATGACAACTGTCTGTTTTTTTTGTGTGTGACAAGTGAGCTGTCAATCACAGCCCAGACCACGCCCAACTCTAAGCCCCCCTTCTTGTCCCTTGGTCCTCCAGGCAACGCCCTTTTTAGAGAAAATTTTCAAATCTTCATGTGGGCAGAGTAAGGCTGAGCACAGGTGTTTAGTCGCTCTTTAATGTATTGGCGATTTGTCCATAACTCAAACCATGTCCATATTAAACCAAAAAAAATCAAAAGGCCACTAAGGCGTTTTCAGGTTGGCTTTACGCAGGATAGAGAAAACATAATGTCCAAAAAAAATTGCATTTTTGGTGGGTTTATTCTCCAAGCAAATGGCAAACATGCAGAACTGCAGCCTCTCCTCTCGCTGGTAAAAAACCATATGCCCAAAACGCCTCTATGCCGCCCCCCCCCCCCCCCCATCGCCCAATTTATCCTCGTGACCAAATTAAATTAACATAAGCAATAATTAACCCAAAATTATCTTTGCAAACTAAGAAAAATAATTAACTAAAGTAGATCATAATTAGAATCAAAAATAGACAAATGGCTCTAACAATAACAAACGCATAAAGACATACAGAGCGATGGCCACTGGATCCTAAAACTGTTTTTTTCGTTTCAGACGGAGGCAAGCCAAACTGCAGAAGGAGCTCGCAGACGCCGCCAAGGAGCCGCTGCCCATCGACCAGTCAGTCAATTTTATTACTTCCACAGTGTCGATAACCAGAGGCGAAACTCCTTTGCCGTTTTAGCAGCCGCTAGGATGACTTTCAATCATCAACTGCTGCCAAAGTACAACTAATCAAAAATATTTTATAGATTCCCCAAAGATTGAGAGTGTCATAAAAGGAACTTAGTATTTGTTTATTGAAGGGAACTAGCTAACATTAACGTCAACAAGTGTAACATACCACGGAGCATAAGGCTCATCCATTTAAAAAGAAATTAAACTGATATTTGGACTTTAAAGCCTGTGTGTGAACAGGACAGTTTGTTGAAGCCTAGTGGCGATTCTTTGGACTTAAAACAAGTTTTTAGTCCAAAGAAACGCGTTTATGTTTATGACACAGTGTGACAGCTACAGTGTGTCATCAAAGCCCTGGTTCTAACTGTACGTGTAAATAAATGTGTTTGTGCTCGGACAAAAGTCCATCCATCCGTTTTCTTCCCCTTTGTCCATTTCTGGGTTGGGGGTGGCAGTCAGAGCTGTACACAGAGCACCGGCCCCTCCTACAGGTGCTGAGTATACAGGAGGATGGCGGCTGCTTCGTCAGTGAGAGCATAGCCTTGATATTTCAGCAGGGTTAATAAGTGTCTTGCCCAAGGTCACAACGACAGCAGACATAAGTTGGAGTCCAGAAGTAGGTCTCGTGGTGGGCTTCAGACCCAAAGACCAATACTCTAACAACTGAGCCACTGTCGCCCAAAAGTGTCTCATTATTTATTTGGCATTATGCGTTATTCAACCTAATGCTTTTGTTACTACTGCTGCTAATCCTCATGCCACTGCTGCTAATGATACAACTACTTCCAATGCTGCCTCAGCACCTAACTCGGGGACTGTGCTCAGAATAATATCTATTTTTTCTTTTGTCAAACTTCTGGAATTCCTGCAGTTCAGGTTTTAGTTTTGAACAGATATTTTGATGTTGCAGAGATGACGACATCGAAGTGTTGGCAGAAGACTCGAGTAAAGGAGGAGGAGAGACGTCTCCTCACAGAGCAGCGAGCCGCACGCCCAGGTCAGACCCAGACTAATGACACTGAGGCTATTTATGGCTGTAGCCATAAAAAAAAAAAAAGGATATATTTTTATTTTATTTTTTAGAATTGGTTTCAATGCTTAATATATGGCTACATTATGCATCTCCATTTATCATGAAATAAAGTGTATTTTTTTCTTTTATTTATGCCATAAATTGGCATATTGTATATTTCTGACCAATATATCTATAATCGTCATATCGTGATAAAATCGTTATTGTGAGCTTTGTATTGTGAGGTACTTAGGTTCCCACCCCTAATTTACACTGGTGTTTTTTGCGCGTATGACGAACGTATGGCGCGAGGCTGCACCTAATTTAGGATGGATTTCTAATTTTGTGCGTGCATCAACGCGTCTCCCAGTCAAAACACATGGAAAACATGATTTTTCTAGCGGCCCTTGGCTCTAGATCACATTCACAGCGCTGGTATCTAAACATTAGCAGGAGGATTGGCAGGTTTTACAATGATTCTGGACATTGTTTTTTTTTTTTTTGGTTCATAAAGTCTGGCGTCTGGCCAAACCAGCGCACAGAGACCATGAAGACAAACACATGCATCAGATTTGTGTTGCTCTACATCAGTCCTCTGGCCCGTACTGTCCTCTACACTGCTCCATAGACTACACAGGGAGAGCATCTGAAGCCGCGGACCTGCGCGCACAGCCAGTGTACATACAGCCAAATAATGTTACGCACATATGCGTGCTGTTAATGCCTACTGTGGAAATTCCCTGGTACAGTTGCTTACAATGATGCGTTGCCCCAATTGTCAAGAGCCAGTGAACTCTTTTGTGTCAAATCGAGTAAACACTTTGCAAGCTGTCTTTGAGAAATTGAAGATGAAAAAGACTGGGATTGTGTCTTTAATTCAGACAGAAGACATGTTTTATTGTTGATGGTAGACGCACGAGCACGAACAAAATGCAAGTGGTAATATACAGCAGGAGAAACTGAGACCTCCAATCAGCAGCTGCCACGGTGCCAGCAGCTTCAACCTTGAGTTAACCAAAACAATGGAAGAGTACTGGCTCGTTCAAATGTTAGAATGATGAGTTAGAACTTTAACCACAGTTGCTTCAAAGTATTATGAAATCACTACAGCCTCAACAATTCAAAAAATGCTGTGATTATTATATTGTCCAGTGTTGTGTGCAGCGCGGCACGTTACACGTCGCTGGAAACATGATTGGAGGTATGACTGCCTCTTGAAAGTTTAGAGGTTTTTATTGTGTTGTTTATTTTATTTTTTCTTGTCTGTGTCTGTTGATCTGGACCTGGAGTCTGCAAATAAAGTTATGTGTTCAAAGTGAAACTATTTTACAAACTTGTCTCTCTGGTTGGATTGAGCAGCAGGAGTTTCCCAGTCGCTGAGGTCTCTGTTCTCTGCCCTCTTTGCGCTCTGGTCTATGCCTTCTTTGGTATCTATCTGGTCTTTCTGGTTGGATTGGAGTTTGTGGCAGCTGAGGGGGCACCAAGTTTCAGTGTTGCTGGTGAAGTCAGGCATGCTCAGACGCCTCTCCTCTCTGTGAGATTGATTTGAATACTTTAGATTGGCGCAGAAAGTCAGTTATTGTTTAGCTATATGCAGCTCAAGTCTTGTGAATAGTGTATTCTTGAATTAATGCACTATGTTTTTCTTGATTTATGTTGGTCTTTTGTCATGTGAATGTATTTTAATGGCTTTTAAACATCACAGGGACTACAGATAAAAAAATAGCCTCCATGACTAATTCTGGCTTTTTTTTAGTCACGTTTAAAGGGCCCATATCACGGGTTTTGACTTTTCTCTGCTTTAAACATGATTACAATGCTATTTGGCCTTCATACACAAGCCCACAGTAGTTTATTCATTGATTCTGTCAATCTTTTGTAAGAGAGCAATCTGTCTCCTTCCCCAGCGTGAGGCACAGAAACGCTCGGGTCCACTTCAGTGACGAAAACCACACTGATGACGCGCATGACCCCGTTTGCTTTGTATTTAAAATAGTTGTTAAATACTTTTGTCAAAACGGGGTAAACGATACACAATTAGTATGCTGTTTTTGTCAAAAATAATACAAATAAAAATAAATTAAAAGCCGGCGGGAGGTGATTGACGGATCAAAACAGCGAATCAGAGCGCACAGGCTCCGGCTCCCGAGTCCAGCGTCTGTGGTCTGGTCTCGCGGACACCACATAGAGCTGCTGTTTTTATGCTTTTATCAGCAACTAAAAGTGTTAGGATCACGTCAACTTGAATGAAGTGTGTTATGGGTGTAAATATGTGACACACTATTTGGCCCTAAGAGGAAGAAAGCAGCTCGACTTTTTTCATCTGTTCATCTCATGGATCTATTATAAACCGGTTCATCTGCGACACTTCACTGAGACTTTTCCAGAACTGTGCGAAAGATCAAGGCTATGCTCACACTCAGAGAGCAGCCGTCCTCCTGTGGACTCACCACCTGCAGAGGGTCAGTGAGGGGCTGGTGCTATGAGACTTGGGTGGCATCTCTGATTGCCACCCCCCTGACCCAGAAATGGATTAAAGGGTAGAAAATGGATGGACGGATGTTCCAGAACTACAGGGACAATGGAACTGGACTTACTCAAAAGCTGATCTGGAAACACGTCTTTTACCGTGGGAATAACGTAACTCGGACCCCCTCAATCTGTAAGTAGTGACGCTAACTCGCTGTATACTTCTGTAAACTAAATAACTAGGGTCTGATTGTGCATCGAGGACATAGGGCTCGATGTGACGGATTGTCATTGTTGGAAAAAGTTTATTCTTATGTATGAAATTACTAAGTACAGGTGATAAACGACAAAAGCGTGATGCTACGTCACCGTGCGGGCGGGGGGAGGCGGGCTCACAGGCAGAGGAGCAGACTCTTCTCTGGATCAGCTCGTTTGAGTCGAGGTGACGTCACCTCTATACAAGAGATGGCTCTAATCTCACAAGCTTTGATTGTGGTGTATCATACACATTAATATCACACATGTGCATAGGATTGAGTGTGAAACATGAAGAAAAGCGTGATATAGGACCTTTAATCATGTTTTTCATTAAATAGCATTTTCTTCTTTGAAATAAGCTAACCTGAAGCAGGATTATGTGATGGCTATAGTCAGGTTTTTATGTTTGCATGTTCTCCCCTTGTCTGCGTTGGTTTGAAAGTGTTGCAGGTTACAGCAGGAATGAGTAGCGCACAAGTGTTTTATTTTGTTAAATAAATACAACATGGTATGAGAATTTAGTCAGTGTTATTTCTCACTGTTTCTCACCAGTGCAAGAGCACCATCACAGACCTTTGCATGTTCTCCCCGTGTCTGTGTAGGTTTCCTCCTGGTGCTCCGGTTTCCTTTACCACTAACAACATGTACAGACGCTCTGATATTCTGAAGAGATTATGAAATCTCTGCTTCCTGTTTTTAAATCTCAAGTAATAAAACCAGAGTCACATTTGAGTCGCCCACAAACTCATGAGAATCACATGTCAGTGTTCCCCATATCGGGCAGAAAGAGCAGGCTACAGATCTGAGGAAGGGGGTGGAAAACTCTGAAACAAGGGCCAAGATCTCATAAGAGCCACACTGTACCTGCACCAAGGGTTGAGAGCCGGGGATTGTCTGCCACCACTTTTCATTTTGACCCTTGTGATGCAGTGTATTGGATTGGAGTGGACCATCGTGTTTGTTTATGGGGCCTGGTTCAATGCTAATGTTGTAGACAATGAACATGCGTCTAACAAACCGACACATAACTGCGGCCAGCGGGAGCTATTGTTTTGTTTTAAAAGGTAACGAGAGCCACGGGTGATAAAGGGGTGGGGCGCCACACCCTGCTAATTCCTTTGATGGGAAACACTGGACCTTTACCTGGACCAGTGATGGTCAGATGGTTTTCTGTTTTTGAAGAAATGTTCTCTGTTGAAGAAAATTCAAACACAGCGTACTTACACAAGTGTGCTCCTCTGGTCTCTCTAGTCTCGCTCTCTGGTCTCTCTCGCTGCTCTCTCTCTGGTCTTCCTCCCTGGTCTCTTGTCCTCATGTCTGTTGTCTTCCTTCCTCAGTGGTAAGAAGCAGGGACCGGCGCCCCCTGGTGGACTGCTCGACTCAATCTCCAACATCTTTGGGTGAGTTTTTACTTTTCATTACTCCAGAATTCAGAACTTCTCCAGGATTTAAGACCAACGTTAGTGTTCATCAGAGCCAAAACGTCCTCTCATTAGCCTCTGCATGTTCTAGTAGTTTTCCCATGTCATTTATTCACTCATAGTTGAAGGGGAAAACATTTGCTGATCACTAACTTCATGTGTAGTCTCAGCGGAGCATGCAGGGCCGTGCATACAAAGCCACGTGTGTGATTTCAAATAGTTTTAGGGCTGAGAGAGATTAGAGTTGGAAATTACTAAAACGTTGCATTTGTTTTTGTTAACTCATTTCTGTAACAGCTAAGAGATAAAACGAGAAACTGCTTTTCTAGCAACAAACACTAAGCAGCTTAACAATAAAAACAAAGCCCCCAGTCTCTCAAAGATGTCTGCACCAGGATTTTTTGGCTCTGATGAAGGGAGGGACTTGTTCTGGAGAGGCTCTGGTCTCTTCTGACTTTAGGACTTGACCTGAAGCTGTATTTTCTGTCTCCACTGTTTCCATTATTTCTGTCGTTTGTCTGCAGTGTGTGTGAGCCTGGACTTCCTCCTCCGCACAGGTGAAGGTGTTTCCCCTAGCCCCGCCCACTTCCCATTTAGCGCTGTCCACTTCCCCCTCTGCTCTGTGTGTGTCTTTGCCGCTTTTCCACAGTAACGGTACGCTTTGTGACGACTCTACACGGCGTGGCACGGCCCAGTTTGCGTGCTTTTCTATCAAAAATAGTACCCCCTAGTACGTCCTCAGCGTTGTCAGACCACGTCATTTACGCATGACGCGTAACTAGTATTGGTGCAGTGTAGGGGTGGGAACCTAAGGGTACGATACACAATAGAAAGCTCACTATAACGATATCACGATAATAACCGATAAACTATAACGATTTTATCACGATATGACGATTATTGATATATTGGTCAGAAATATACAATATGCCAATTTCTGGCATAAATAAAAGTAAAAATACTCTTATTTCATGATAAATGGAATGGAGATGCGTAATGTAGCCATATATTAAGTATTGATACCAATTAAAAAACTTTTTTTTTATTCGATATCGATACCTGCATATCGATAATCGAATCGCGGGAGAAAGTATAGCGAAAAATTGATCACACCCCTAGTGCAGTGCATGGATTTATTATATCAGACGAACAGCAAGTGTTTAATAGAAAATTCAGCACAGTACGAGTGGTTGTTGAAAATGCTTGTCTTAAGAATGACTCGGACACTGAAGTCAATGGTGCTGACTAAGGCTGCATCTATAGATTATTTTTCCTTTTACCGGTTATTTTTACATTTAAAATGAAGGGGAAAAAGTTGACGTAGGCCAGTATTTTCAAATGGCATGGCTTTTATTTAACCAAATAAAATTATGGCTCAATGGGCAACTCAGTAGCCTATAAAATGTGCAAATCAAAATATTCTGGAACACTCACTGTAAACATTTGAATAAAAGTATTGCTTTTAAAATAAACATCCAGTCCAACACACAATAACTAATTCCACTCATTCCAGCCTAACAGTTGTAATGAAGAAAGGTTAGCATGTCTACATGCTCTGGGGTGAGGCTGGTTCTTTTCTTGTTTACAATATTCCCAGCAGCTGAAAATAGTCGCTCAGAAGGGGTCGATGTGGCTGGAACAGAGAGGTAAGACCGAGCCAACATTGCTAGATTTGGAAACCTTGCCTCATTTTCTTTCCACCATTTTAATGGGTTTTCATCCTTGGAAATGGGGGATTCTCCGAAATAAGACCGTAACTAATTTCTGACCACTTCAGCATCATTATTGTCATTGTTGTCTTCCTCATTGTTGCTGAGTTCATCTGAATCTGAGCCAAGTAGTGTGTCTAGTAAAGATACAGGCCGCCTGTCAGCAACTGGTCTTTCCTCTTGCATTGCTGTGTCCTGTTGTTGAGCGTTTGTCTCATTTGCCTTTCTTTTCTCCTCCAGAATTATTGCTTTCAGTTTTTGTTGAACATTTAAACATTCATCTGCAGTGAGGAATTTCAGCTTCCTGAATCGTGGGTCAAGTGCAGCTGCTAATATGCACACATTTGGTCCATCATCCTTGAATGTGGTCTCAGCTTCCCACCTGGATGTTATCGCATGTGCAGCAGTGACCTGAAAACACTTGACTGAAGCATTTTCAAAAGCAGTTTGTGTAGCCTTCCAAAGCCCTTTCACCAGCAGAGGTACAGCGGAAACTGTTACATAAGATTCTCCACTCAGGTCCACAGTCTCATTCAAAGGGTTTAAGAGCTTGTTCAAGTTCTTCGAGCAAACTCCACTGATCAGCCTTAAGATCCAGAAAACGCTTCCCTCTTTGAGTGACCTCTGGATCTGACAGAGTTGCTGTTATTGGCCACCTCTGCTCAAGCAGGCGACTAATCATGTAAAAGGAACTGTTCCATCTCACAGACACATCTTGTATGAGGCTGTGGTCAGGAGAATCCATTTGTTTTTGCTTAACCTTAAGTTTGGTACTGGCCAGCTCACTTTTTTTAAAGTGCTCCACCAAACTTCTTGCTGCTCCTAAAGCTCTGCTGATGTGGTTGTCCTTTAGAGCATGGTTAACTACACTGGCCATACTGTAGAGTATGGCCAGCACATCTGAGGGATGAAACGCCATGTCTTTCCTCAAGAAGTCTTAAAGCTGCAACAACATTTGCAGCATTGTCATGCACGATGACTTGAACATGTTTTATGTTTATTTCAAACTTATTGACAACATCCTCAAACCAACATGTAACATGTACAATGTTACATTAATAGTAACACTAGAAAATAGAATACTAAAGACAAGAATAATAACAACAGGCTAGAATCAGGTTCTCTAGGTTCAGCTCGGAGGAAAAATGGGCTGCTCAATGAACCACACACAACAAATATATTGAGCTCAGTTGTGTTTAGTTATTGTACAGTGAAGTCATATATACATTATTTACAATTTGTGCACAGTTCATTATGTTCCATTTCATCCATAAGAGTCCATTTCATGTAATCCAATTTCCAAGGATAAAAGCAGGTTCTTGTGAAAGATTTAGTCCACAGTCTCAGTTCACATTCGGTCTGAATTTGCAAAACCAAGAACTGGTGCAGATGTTAGCTTCTCAATAACAACATAGAAAGAAGTTAAACATTCTTCAGTCCATCTGTCTCCAAATGACTGCTTTGGATCAAGATACTTCACAAGTGTACTCTTATCTTTAGTGGACTTATGTACTGGTGCATAGCCACGAGTGAGAGCATTAAGTGATTTGACTAGGGTGGCGTAGTTTCTGATGAACCTCCGATAGTATCCTGCAAACCCGAGGAAGGATCTCAGCTCCTTCAAGTTTCGGGGAACCGGCCAGGATTTGAGCGAGGATAACTTCTCGGTCGGTCTCAACACCATTCTCGGACACCACATGCCCGAGGTAACGCACACTGGACTGGAAAAATTTGCATTTTTCAGGGGACAGTTTTAGTCCAAACTTCTTGAGACGCTCGAGGACTTGCACCAGCCGCTTCTCGTGCTCTTCCAAAGTGCCCGAGAAGACGATTATGTCATCGAGAAACACCAGTACCTCTTTCAGATTTAAATCTCCCATACACTTCTCCATGAGTCTCTGGAACGTACTGGGAGCGTTGGTTACCCCTTGGGGCATCCGATTCCATTCCCAGAACCCCAGCGGTGTAACGAAAGCGGTTTTGGCCTTGTCTGCTTCATCCATCTGGATCTGGTAATACCCAGATTTCAGGTCCAAGACGGTAAACCATTTGGAACCACTTAGAGCCGAGAACGACTCTTCGGGGTTTGGTAAAGCATAGGAATCTTTCACGGTTGCAAGATTTAGCTTCCGATAATCAATGCAGAGTCGTACATCGCCATTCTTCTTCCGGACCACCACAATCGGAGACGCGAAAGGAGACTCTGACTCTCGAATAACACCAGCGTTGAGGAGGTCTCGCAAATGTCTACGGACAGCTTCGATGTCTCGAGGATGTATTGGCCTGGCCCGTTGTTTGATAGGCGTCTCATCATGAAGCTGATAGTATGTTTTACTCTGTCCGTGCAGCCGAAATCCAGGTCGTCATGAGAAAAGACTTCAGGCATTTCATTTAACTTGGCTGTTACTCGCTCCTTCCAGTCTGCTGGGATTGGAGAATCATCAAAATTGAACTTCAAAGTTCCCCTCTGACATGTAGCTGGAATGTTTGGTGGGTTTACAGTTGGTGCGGCAACGGTTTGTTGATACAAAATGGTTGGAGAAGCGGCAATATCTGCGAAGACTGTCATTGGAGGGATGAGAGTATCTTGTTCTGACTCATTTTGGACAACAACAGGTACCTTGTATGGTGCATGGATTGGAACCGTGACTAGGCAACTCAGAATGCACAAGCCGCCCGGAAGTGGTGATGTAGGGTGTTCCACTACAGCCCAATGGACGGCACAAGGATGTTCTCCTCTGGCAACGCCCTCCAGGACAATTGTCTGACCAGCTGGGACTAAAACCGGTGCCTGACTCAGCAACCTCACAGTCCCAACGGCACCTTCTTGTGTCTGTTGGTGGTTGAGTTGTAGGAGCTTCAGGACTGCGCAGTAGCCTTGAGCAGCTGGCTGGAAGTTCGAAGAGTCACCGGAGAGGTACTGCTCATATAAGGGTTCCAGAGTATTCATGCCGATCAAAACCGATGAAAGACCGTCAGGGTGAATGTCCGGCACAACCCGGGCGAGCGTTGGGACATCTATTTCTTCCCCCAAAAAGTCTCTTGGGAAAGTGATCGTCAACTCCACATAGCCCAGGTAAGGCACAGACTGGCCTGCGGCTCCCTCCACCTGGAGTAAATTGTCAAGGGGTTTCACCGGTTGGTCACTAAGGGTCTGGTTGTAAAACGACACTGGGACAGTGGTCACCTGTGACCCAGTATCCAAGAGACAATGCTGGTCTCGTCCAGAAATGGTAACAATGGCAGAACATTTTGAACCAATCAACCCCTTTGGAAGCTTATGGGGTAAGCTTTGAGACGTTGACAATTCAGCACACTTAACAGTCTTTTTTCCTTTATTGGGACAGCTTTGGTCCCGCGTGGCTTCCATCTGTCCCACAACAGAAGCCGGACTTAGTTTAAAGTGCTGGAATAAGTGTTGGTTGATTGCCTTCTGGAAAACTGTTTCTTCTTCTGTGCAACCAGCGTTGAATTAGGCTCATTTTCACATTGTGGACGGATATGGCCATCTTCGCCGCATCGAAAACAAAAACCAGGTTTTGGCTGAGAGACTGTAGATCTGCGGGGCTGCTGTGCTGTAGCTCTGTCCTTGACTTGCGGCCTAGAGGGAGAGTTCAAATGGCTAGCAGTTAGCATGTTTAACTGGCGTTGAATGTCAGCCATTTGTTGCGCTAATTTCTGTGTGATGCTAGTTAAAGCAGCAACGGCCCCTCCATCACCCGGGTCAGAACGAGCAACTTGAGCATGAGCAGTGACTTTTGGACGGGTGGACCCAAGATGCTGCTTCATTCGCACCGATTTAGCAGCTTCTCTGTCCTCTTCAGTCCGCAAAAGAAGTAGCAGCTCCG